TTTCACAATCTACAAAAACTGGTAGCACTCAGCAAATCTAAAAGTACTATTACATTCGGATCACTTTTATTCATTTCCACTGTTATTAGCATTTGATAAAAAAATAAACATCGCTTTTAATTCTTAGGCAGTTGTACTTTTATTGTGAATTACAACATAAAAAAGTAGTTGAATGAGGAGGTTCTTTTCACAGCTCCTTTGCCTAAGGCGCATGTCGGATACCGATTGGAATTTTTGTTCCCTCATGGAAGAAGTTATCTTGCGACACAGGGTGCCCTGCTGAGTCCACCCCAGTTCGTTCTGGGTGAATTCGATATAGGTTGGGGTAAGGTGAGTAATAAAGAAAGTCAAAGATGTATTATAATGGAGTTAGGATCAGAATCAGTCACCCAGAAGTGGTAGAAGGTGCCCATAAAAATAACTAAATTGGTACATAAAGGTAAAAAAAACTCAATAAAACAGAAAGTACCATAATAAATTAATAAATCCGTGCGGGCTGGACAGTTTAAAAAGACGATAATACAGCTCGTGAAATAATAATCGTGGCTGCTTTTCATTACTTCAATTTAATTCGTGTGACTCTAGGTATGTGTATCATATTGTTTTTTCACATCTTTTTATTGGGCTCCATAAACGTGGTCACGTTTTAATCCTCTGAAAATATGAACTTGAATGTCGTTATTTGCTTTAATTTATGCGATCATGAAACTGCTGGTGAAATAAAATTATACACCCATAAAGTTGAATCATAGGTGTTTTTTTCTTTAAATATAATTTTACTATATTTTTCAATATACAATAATTATATCACGAGTGGTGAGTATTTTTATTAAAAAATGTAATGTTCCATATAACCAAAAAGGTATTCTAAATATTGTCAAAATCAAAGCTCCCGTGAATAAAGGCCTGGATGTATTTGATTTTCCAAAAGCTTCCAGCACAATCGTACAAAGAGCACCTTTTAATTGAATATCTTCTTTCGACGAGGGCACGCAAGACAGCAGTAGCAGCAGTAACCCGCTATTACGAAAAGTGTCAGGGTACTCGAGCCCAATACTTGAAAACGTCCTGAATTTCAATTTTCAAGCACGCACTTGACCTCATACATAAGCACAACCACGCGAACTGCAACGCTTCACACACAACGAAAATCTATATCTGCACGAAACGATTTTGCGAATGAAAACCCTGGATCAGTCGAAACAATTGAACTCGATTGCCATCTCCTGTAGAAAAAAAAAGTTTTCTGGCATAGAGCCTCGAGTAGAATTCGTTGAATTTTTCCTTCCCAGTACACGTACACGCTTACTGCCAAACTGACCGAAAGTCCTCTCCCACCTTCGGATCCTCGATCAATGTGACACCCACTCGAGCTACACCACCTCGCTAGATTATCGAAATCCTCTCTCGGGAAATATTACTCGCTTCTTTTTTTTTTTCTTCCTCTCTGTCGTTCCCTTTTTTTTATCTGTCCTTCGTTTTTCGCCACCTACCTCGGATGAGCTTAAACGCCGAGATAAAAAAAAGATCCGAGAGCTGCGGAAACGTGTGAGGGTTCTTGGCATGTGAGCAAATACCAGAGAGAAAAAGTAAAAAGAAAGGTGCAAAGCGTACGGGGAAATTGTACGGCGAAGATGAAGGGTCATGGGAAAAGGAAAGTACTTCGGTGTCATTTGCGCTGTGAACTGATTGGATGATACGAGTGCCGATATATCGGTATGGTACGCGGCGTCCAACGGGTTTTGATTTTTGCGGACCTTGGAAAATTAATAGATAAAAAATGGTGACATTGAAGTATCGTCTTATCGCGGCTCGTAAAATAAATACAAACATTGCTGCAAGTAGACTAAGGTTGCTGTGATTTAAAATTAGAGCGCTGCAATTAGTACGAGAAATAGATGAATCAAAGAATTGATAAGATAAGGAATCAGAAATAGCTCGCATGAAGCAGATACGTGGCCTGGGAGTGTTTGTTGAATGACGTTTCGTAAGCACACTGCTGTAGTATGATGTAACTTTGTTACTTTGTTAGTTTCAAAATTATCTTTTCGAGCTGTAAGACTCTTTTGCTACACTTGTTCTGCATTTGTGTAGATTTATTACGTGTATATGTTTGCAAAATTCTACATTCTTGCACGAGAATTAAAATTTTAGCTGAAGAGTTTTATATTATAATTATGTGTATGAAACGATCCAGAATAAATAAGATGTATTTCAAACATGACTTTAAAATTACAAAAGTAGAAACATGAGCAAATGAAACTTTGTTTAAACAGCACATATTTGTAGAGCAGAAGTATTATTTATTTGAGCTGGTGTGATGTTTTTCATTTTCAATATTGCGTACCTTGCAGTGCAGTGCTGTGAAAAGAGACCGAAGCTGTAGAAATCTGAAAAAATATCAAAACACTGCTATGACAATTGCTGTTTACCAAATATACTTTTTTTTATTGCTCGTTCTGTGAAATAAATGTCATCAGCAAATTGAAACTTTTTCTATATCCATATGAATATTCTGCAAATACAGAATATGTAATTCTTAGAAATAACAATCTTTATGTTTTGAGATTTTGATAGTAAAAAAAAAAAAATTATCAATTACCGCACTTCGTGGATCATACGACGAAATATTGTCATAGTATTACACTTTAAAATATCCCAAATTTTTCAAAGCCTTACATATATTTTAACGAATCAAAAGTCAAACAAATTTTTAATTTCCTTATCAAGATATATAATTCAGGGAGTTACAAAAATCTAAATAATTTTAGAAATTATTTTTTGCTGATATCTAGAGTAACATTAAAAAGAAAGCACCTAAAAATCTTAAATCTTTTCTATGCTTGAAGCGGCAAAAGTTCTTGTTTTAATGAATGAAGAACTCTCTAATAAACGTCAACAAATAAAAAATAAATTTAAAGGATCAAAAAATCTTCTTTGGACGTATCAATAACGTAGTAAAAACATTCTGCTTCATACTCAGAAATAAATTTTTCCTCTTACTCCCAGGCGTAGACAAGAAAAATCGATACATGTGAACGGTTCATCTTTTCTCACAAAGAACAGGACTTTTGGCGAACGAATGTGCCGCAGTGAAACAGCCATTTAGCGGGAAGAAGGAGCACGTCGTAGAGTATCCCAATTAAGGAAATAGCTCTGGAAATGTTTTCTCGTTGGCACAGGTGACAGAGTTCGTGGAAACTTCCAAGAGGGCAACTAAGTATACTGATACCGTCTGAAGAGCCATCATCGGCTGGGTAAATATAGGAGACAGTAGATGCGCAGACGGAAAAGTAAAAAAACAAGAAAAGGCATTACTGACTGTAAGTTAATGTCCTAAAGTATTCGATGTTTTGCTAACGACATAAATTATTACTAATTAAATGGACTTTTGCAATGTCAACAGCTTAGTTTAAAACTTTTTTCAATTGTAACAAGACTTTAGAAAAAATTTTAATTGCCAAGTCTACTTGCTCAAAGTCAATTAGGTTAAATAACAAGTCTCTACTTTCCTTTATCTTGTAATAATAAATCCCAGTTTTTCCATAAGGCTGTGCTCAATTTACGTTCTTATGATAAAACTTTTTAGCATAACAGAAATTACCTAGACTCATGTAGGGCGTTAAAATTAGGGCATTGAAGAGCAATGAGTCATAAAAGAAATAAATCTGATATATTTATTGTTCAGGCATGTATTATCATATACCTATGATACATAAAATAGTTGGTACCTACCAAAGTGCATTTAAGACTGATAAGTACATCCTTAGTTTCAGGTATCAGATATGTTGTCTAGATACGTTAGGCAGCTAACACACGATAACAATAACTTATGTCAATGGAACTAAACATTTTGAAATTTTTTTTGCGTATTTTGTAAAGGTGAGAAAGTACACGTGCTTAATTTTTATTAACGCGTTACTTAGATAATGCTGTCGAAGTCTACCTACAATATACACCCGGATCCTATATTAGATATCTTGTAGATATGATACACATTTAATTTTTACACAAAACATCACCTAAATCATTGAAAGCACATTTTTGAGTTGTTTGGTCATCTTGCCATCCTAGTATCATCATGTTAATAAATTGCGTTTCGTTTGGATTCAAATAATTACTACGAGTCCTAAGAAAACTGCAAATGAATAACAATTTAGTAGTATTCAGCGAGAGAAATGCCCAGAGCTGTGCAGTGCATTATCAAGCCTAACAAGTGCAGCCCTTAACAAAGCTCCTCTCCCCTGCATCGAAAGCTGGAAAGCTTTTCGAGCGATATCTCCTCTCCCGTTCCTTTTATCTTATTTTCGCCTCCATCTAATTGAAACGAACTTTTTCCCGCAAAGACCTACCCCACCGAAGATTGATGCGTTTTTTTTTTTTTTTTTTTGTTTATATCCAATGCTTCATCAATTTTTTGGTAACGGCGAAAAATCCCTCGCAAAAAAAATCAAAGTAAAACCACACATCGCTAAGCGCACACACGCGCACATACATGTATGATACGCGCAGTCTCCCCAGTGCCAACCACAGAGAATAAAAGTACACCAGTAAGGGAGAGTATACACACGCGTGTGCGCGCGCTTCAACCTGACTCCGTCTCTCTCCGCTCTCCGGGCGGTTGTCCCACATGTTGCGTCTGGCCTGCCAGGCGTGTAAACCAGCCAGCCACCAGCAAAGCGCCCGGGCCACAGGCAATATTCTCCCCCTCCCCGATCTCGGCGCTCTCCTGCCAACGCCACCTTTTTCGCACTGGCATCGGTGGTGGGTCCCTCAGTTTCGCGAACGCCATCGAGGAGCACCCATCGCTCGCTCGCTCCGTGCTTTTGTTCCTTTGCTCGGTGTGTTACTTTCCTTTTGTCGTCCGTTGCCGTTTGCTGCTCTGTTGCTTGATAACTACTCGTACTTACCACTAACGCCAAACAGTAGTTACAAAGTGCTCCAAAAGAAGAAAAAATCAAGGGTACAAGAATTTTGTGTTGGACTCTCTTTTTGTTGTGTGATTGGCGGTCGTTTCGATTGTTTGGCCGGTCGAAGGTGGGGATTTGTCCAACAGTGTGGTGATCATTGGATAACGCATCGTGGAGTAAGAAAGTGTTCGATAAGTTGATGACAAATAATTGTTGGTGGGAAGAAAAGGGAGAGAAATAAACAGTGCAAAGATGTGACAGACGAGCTTGCGATGATTGCTAGAGCTGACCGCGAGCTTGACGCTGCGACCTGATACCCTCGTATCGTCTGAAAGATGATGCTTGTCCGGCACTGAGCCGTGGCTTTGTATTATATTTAAGGTACGTTGGCTTTTGCATCGAACACGTTGTTACACATTCAAATGCTTGGGGGGGAGAAAGGCGGGCCGAGCTTCTGGAGACTGGGCTACTGGAGTTCCACGTATTTTCTCACTTTTTTAGACGACGCTTCGTAATTTTCGGATTCCCTCGGCTTTTCGTGCGTAATAAATTTTTTTTTCTTCTTTGAGTATCGCCAAAACTTTTCTGTGTATTCTCGAATTGGTCGTATCTTTCGATCGAAGCAGGGGAGAAAAATTACGTGATGGTTTATGTTGGAAACAGAGGCTAGCGTGAATTCGGGCTTTTCTTCCATTTGTTTTGTTTTGGCTGCTCTCTTTTTCTCTTAATTTAAGGCCAGTTACTTAATCGGAACAATAAAGGTGAATTGGCGGACAGACGGGAAACAAAACTTTTTTTTTCTTCGGATGGGAAATGTGAGCGGTTTTGTTTGTACAACGGGGCTTGTTGTTTTGGGGGTGAAATAAAAAAAATTTTCGAGTATTACCCATTACAAGTAAAGAGAAAAATGTGTTTCTTTTCACTGAGTATTGTTGAAAGGCATTCTTCAGGAAAATTTTACATCCCGTATCTCCTTTTCAATAGAAAAAAATGCCAAAACGTAACAAATAAGTCTTTGTTTCTACTACTCATATCTCGAAGTTAACGAAATTTACTGTAATAAATGTTTCGTCAAATAGTATCATATAATAGTTTGGTTGATTAGAAAATATCTTGACCTAAACAAATCAATCATAATAAAATAGAGTGATTAACAAAAATATCGTATAATTTTCAACAAAAACAGTACTAAGCACAAATTTTGAGCCACGTAATCATTTGAACTTTTGAACGACTTACTTAACGTTTGTTGGATTAATTAATATTTAGCTCTCTTAGCTTCGAAAATAGTTGGACATTTGCTCAACAAATTATAAACACTTTATAATTAAAGACTGAGATGGTAATTAGTTCAACTAAGTTTTTATTCAATTAAAATAAGAAGTACTTCATCATGACTGAAATGTAAAATTGTTGTATCAATACAGGATGTTTTTTATTTTAAAAAACTGCTCAATAATTACAGCAATGAATGAATTTTTATTTTCCAGTCCTCCTATATTTTCGATCATAAACTTTAAAACCGTGCGTTTTTTGTGTCTATCCAGTTTTGTTTAGCGTAAATGATGAAATCAATTTATCATTTTAAATTTCTTACTTATCTATCAAATAGTACTGACACAAAAACTTCTATGCAACATATAGTAATCCAATTTTTTTTGGCATTATTTTAAGTGAAGAAAAAGGATACATCTTTTTTATCACGAGTAAATATCGTATACGTTTCTCCGTATCATAAGAGTAAATTGCAACTTTTGCTTTAACTGATAAAATTCTCATAAAACTGATACAGGAACCTTTTTCTTTTTTTTTTCTTTCTTTCAAACCCGCACAGTGAAAAATATGAACATAAAAAACTGATGGGGCATGGAAAGAATAAAAGAAAGGAAGCCACGTGTACTATTCATTTCGATGAAAATTTTTTCCACTGCAGTGTTATATTTTACAGCAAAAATGTGTTTTTTACATGCAAAAGAGCCAATTTCAAACGAATGCAAATGCATGCAACAGCTGTATTGTGATGGCTGTCGTTATAAAGATAAAAACTAATAGTATTTGGAAAAACGCTTTAAAAAAAAAGGCCATCGAGTTTTGCCAGAACAGCTTGCAATTTCATTGTGGAGAAGCACGACAGACAGACATATTAATAAAAAGGAACTAGGGGCTGAAATCACGATGGTTACTGCCGAACGAGGGATAGGAGATATTGTGTCTTATATTACCTTACCGCTGCTCAGGAGGTGAAAGGGTGAGTGTTGTTTTACGAGAAAGTCAGAGCAGCTGAGGGTTAAAATTATCAAGATATCGTAAAGTTTGTATCTCATTGGGAGCTGGAACCCCGGGCTGTTCCCAACGAGGACCAAGGAAGGTTTTATGGGAGGGAAGCATGTGAAAGGGCTGAGGATAGCAAGGTGAAACAATTTTTGTGACGTGTGGCAGGATATTTTTTTGGTGAACTCCAATGTTGATTGAAAAACAAAAAATAAACAAAAATACCTTTTAGATTCAAGTATTTTAAAACCAAATTGAATTTTTTTATTTTATGAATTACGATATGAGAAGATTATCAAACATAAAAATATGTGCTTATAATGGTTGAATGTCAAAAGTCGAATAAATGTTGCTTTTCTCCGAGTTTTCTTTTATTCGAGTGAATGTATGCAAAAAACATTAATATCGGACTCTGACTCGCTCACGTGTATACATATAACATTCAACCAATCATAAAAAGTATAAATTTTTACAAATTTTTCAACAATATTCACAACCACAATTCAACCTACATTGCAGTCTGATTTGGATGTGGAATTCGTTTTGCTTCCCTTTACGTTTTTGCATGTAAAAAAAAGGGGTAACTTTAATGAAAATCTAAAAATTTAAATAATAATATGAAATAAGGTGAAAACATTCTTCACAATAATATTAAAAACACAAATTATAATTATTGATAACAAATTAAAATGCAACAAAAAAAAACGAAATACTGAAACCGAAGGATATTAAAATCTCTTTCACGAATGTCTTACCATAACAGGCTGTTACTACTTGATCAAGTGTAAGAATCACAACAATTGATTGAAGGGAAAACTCAACGTTTCAGCAGTTTATTAAACTTCTTCCAAGCCTACACCATGGCTCTGGAAATTAACAAAAATGTAGTTTTTGCAAAAATGAACTTATAAAACAATACCTTTGTCGATTGAGGCGTGAAAACAAGAATGTCACTGCTGCGGTCCACGTAAGAGTTTTGTGCTCACTAACAAAAAAAGCACTCTCGTGAAAAGAATCAGTCTACGTCAAGAATATAGGTAGTTCGAGAATGAAAGCTTCTATCGCGCTCCATGTGTACCTATAGTACGCCCGTCCCACTCCTCGTCCCTGGCGCTCCAGAGTCTATTTTAAATTTGCCGGGTTTGTATTTCCGAATATACACCACACACGCATACAGAGGAAAGAGGGTAGGGGAACCAAAAGACGAATCAAGCTCACGCGTACGCGTATTCTCTTCTCTTAGTACGCTCGTCACGATCGCACCAAATGGATGCTGATTTCTCATTATTCGTTCGGTGGATGAATTTGTCCCACGATGAGTTATCTCGGGAACACGGAGTCGTACGCTTTTCATATTGAGTAAAGTCAATGTGACTAACTTTTTTTGTTTTGATCGTTGCATGTTGGTGTACGTCACGTAGAGACACACTTCCGGAGTTCGTGCTCTTGTGCTGTGTTGGTGGACATGTGGATCTTCTTTTTCTAGTTACATGGGGCTTTGGACCTTTTAATTATAATTGGGTGCAAAAAAAAGCTCGTAATATGGGTGAGTTTTGAAAAGTATTTTATCAACCGAGAGGTCAACGGCAAAATTACTTTCATTGAGTTAAAAAATGTTTACCTTTCCTCGATCTGTTTGAAGCTTTCTGTGCTTTTGGGGAAATAAAAACCACTACTCAAATTGATTACTCGATTCACGTACGATGTGTTTATAAATAGATTGCCGTAACGCTCTTACTTTGATGATAAAATTTTCGATCGCGTTATACTTGTATTTCCCAAAATTTTTTGCGTTTTCTAATATGATTGAGCTCATCCCGTTGTAATAGTCAAACAAAACAGAATCTTCAAGTTTTTAAAATCCTGAAAAATAGTATCGATCTCGCCCTTTTCTAAATTTTATCGCGAAAATCCAAATAGTGAATCATGACGTGTATAGAATTTTTTATCGAACTTTCGTCATACAATTTAAGTTTAACCACCTACATGCCTTGATTTCTTTTATTTATTAACCTTAAGTTCAAGAATGGATTTTTAAAAAATTACTTTCCACAATCAAGTGCGAATAAGACATGAAAAATAAAACCCGAAGATTATATTTCTCACGTCAAGAAAACAGTAATTGCCTGTGGCTTAATTTTTTTTGCAGTGTTATCATCTATCCTTATTCTCCACTCACCGCTTCATTACCTTCAATATCAAAAGTAATTACAGTTCTCTCAGCCCAACTTTCCCTCAAAATGCAATCACAAAGTCATCAACCTCGAGACTTCGTACACCGCCTTTATTGGGTCCACCGACTAATTATAGATCGATGTGGTGTGTATATTCCTCTAGTTTCTTTCTCTACGCGATTCCACACTCACCACCACATCAAATTTCACAAAGTAGTTATCAAATGTACAGTCAACTGAGGAATTGACGAAACAGTAGTTAAAAAAACCATCGAAGAAAGACGAGATACACCCTGTGGCTTGCAAAAACAAAGAGATTAATTTTATCTTCCTACATAAAAAGTGAAATGAAGTTCTTTCTCGAGGTAGTAACCTTTGTTACGTTCGCTCTCGTTTTTCGTAAACACTCAGCACCCGATCACACCGAATTGTTGACTTCACGCAGCCTCGAGTACTACTAACTCCAACCATTTTTGTGGTATGTACACGCTACTTTCTCACTTTTCAAAAACCTAACATTCGGAAGTTGTACCATTAAAAAAAAAAAAAAAAAAAAACATAAGACTCAAAAAACGAACATCGGCTATCGGCGCAACAACGCGCACCGAGCAATTAATGTACTTACCGTTGAATACTGTTTCAGCTCGTAACCCGCGAATTTATGGATCGGCGTAGCAAATGTAGCGCAAGTTTGTTTTCTCGTGCGGCAACAGCTGCGCCGCGCACATACATACATATGTACCATACACAACACTCTCACGAGTGAACCAGTGAACTGTGCGCATTACATTTTTTTCCCGCTCGATCGATCGACGTGCCCTTACTATACTGCGTGTGTGTTATTTTAATAAAATGCGCCAATGCGAGGAGAGAGAGAGGGAGTTGATAAAATCAGCAAGAGCCGGGTGTCGCTTGAAGTCCGTCGTGATTTCGCTC